TACAGGACAAACTAAAAATTCCATGAAAATAAATCAGAATGAAGGATTCTAAGAATCCAATAAGATCCTATAAGAATCCAGTAAGATACTACAGGACAAAGTGAAATTTCATTAAAATTAATCAGAATGTCCAATAGGATTATAAGAATCTAATAAGATCCAATAAGAATCCAATAAGATCCTACAGGACAAAGTAAAATTCCATTAAAATAAATCAGAATGTCCAATAGGATTATAAGAATCCAATAAGATCCTATTGGAATCCATTAAGATCCTACAGGATAAACTGAAATTCCAATAGGATTTTTTGACAAGGGTGTCCAGAAAAGTACAAGCTATATAACAAGGAGGGAAATAATTGAGAAAAAGAAGTTGTTTTTAAGTAATTTGCTATGCCTTGCTGTAAATGAACAAGTCGTTCAGATGAGCTTTTACACAATCCGCATGCCGAAAACTGAGATATGAATGACGAATAAGGGGAAACAAATGTGACGATTTACATTTCATTTACGTGATATGTAGCCTACATCAGCTTATGGAAACGTGTTTAACAAGTTAAAACATTAACACTTGTGTGATCAGGCGTAGGCTATATATTTAACACTTGTGTGATCAGGCGTAGGCTATATATTTATTATTGTGATTAATGTTATGACTATTATATCGACAGAACATCTGGCCAAACATGAGAGTCACATGAGACTCGGAGTCTCCAGATGATCTTGTGCTTCAAGCTGCCCAAAAGAACATCTGTATGAAAGCCTCCTGACGCCCCTCACTGTTGCCGATTTCATGAAAGTCTCTTCAGACTGTTTGCTGAACATAAAGAAGACGCGTTCAGGCTTTTATCAACTTTTCCAGTTAAACTATTCATCAAATTTACACGCGGCTTTCCCCCGTGGCTGATGCTCGCCTTCGATTTGATCTGATGAAGGCAAAATAAACATTTCCTATTTGCGTAAATTAGTCTCCAATGACAGCTCAGAACCTCTCCTTGGTGTTTACTTTGTTTTAACTGTGCTAAACTATTTTACCGTTCCAGTTTTGCCTCAGATGTAAGAGAAGAAAACACACTCGTTAGGGATTCGTGGACGCGCACAGACGCCGAGCGGGCAGGTTGAGTCTATAAGGCTCTCATGTGTTATTTAAGAGCGCAGCGCCGCGCGAGCGCTAGACATTGCTGAAACCAGAGACAGCTTTAGAAATACTGCAGATCCGATCAGAGAGAAATGGCAGAAATCGCACCCGCCCCCGCTGCTGCCGCCCCGGCAAAAGCGCCCAAGAAGAAGTCCGCTGCGAAAGCCAAGAAAGCAGGTCCAGGCGTCGGCGAGCTCATCGTCAAAGCTGTGTCCGCATCCAAGGAGAGGAGCGGCGTGTCCCTCGCCGCGCTGAAGAAAGCGCTCGCTGCCGGCGGCTACGACGTGGAGAAGAACAACTCCCGCGTCAAGATCGCCATCAAGAGCCTGGTGACCAAAGGCGCCCTGGTGCAGGTCAAAGGGACCGGCGCCTCGGGCTCATTCAAGCTCAACAAGCAGCAAGCCGAGACCAAGAAGAAAGCGGCTCCTAAAGCGAAGAAGCCCGCGGTCAAGAAACCCGCTGCTGCCAAGAAGCCCAAGAGCTCTGCGGCAAAGAAGCCCGCCGCCAAGAAATCGCCCAAGAAAGCCGCCGCTAAGAAATCGCCCAAGAAGGCCAAGAAACCCGCCGCCACAGCCGCTAAGAAGGCCACGAAGAGCCCCAAGAAGGCAAAGAAACCAGCAGCCGTTAAGAAAGCAGCCAAGAGTCCCAAAAAGGCAAAGACTGCTAAACCTAAGGTGGCAAAACCTAAAGCCGCCAAGCCTAAAAAGGCAGCGCCCAAAAAGAAGTAAAGTTCACTGTTTGTTCCTCAACGGCTCTTTTAAGAGCCACCCACTAACTTTGAATAAGAGCAAAACTCGTTAATTAATGATTTCCGAAAGCGGATAATAGAGATGTGACTTTTAACCTCAAGACTCATTCATTATAAACAAACAATTCAAAACACCCAGTTTTGAAGAAAAAAAAAAAAAACCTTAAGTAAACCATTATTTATATATGAGAAATGTATTGTAAATGGCCCAAAAAAAAAAAACCAAGAGGGTTCAGACAGTGATCAGAAATGGCATGTTGTACACCACGGTACAGACAGGATATACACACAACACTATGCTGGGGAATTGTGATAATACAATACAAACAACCCCACATCCAACAATATGGACAGTGATAAAACTCCAATATTGAAATAGGAGCATAATACTGTACAGTATCAGATGGTCAATGTGCACAGAATATACATTGTGTGTATGTTCTGTGTCTGTGTGAAAGGTGCAGCGCTTTTGGTAGGAACAGCGTACAATATCCATTTTTGTATTTTTATATAACAAACCTTTCAATGGTTTCACCTCTTCCACTTCTTATTATTCACACTCACAAATACTAGTGCATGCATGTGCAAATAGTGCACAATAATTCCCGCTAGAATGGGGAGAGAAGTTCCGTGATTGGTTTAAATCTTTCCAGACTCTAAACCAATCGGCGACTGGCACTCTGGTTTAAAGCCGGAGGCACACGCACATAGTCTTCATTCAATCATCTACATTTTGACAGTGAATTTTGAAGTAACTATTTTAAAAATAATGAGTGGAAGAGGCAAAACCGGTGGTAAGGCCAGAGCGAAGGCTAAGACTCGCTCCTCCAGGGCGGGACTACAGTTCCCCGTCGGCCGTGTTCACAGGCTTCTGCGCAAAGGAAACTATGGCGAGCGCGTCGGTGCCGGAGCTCCTGTTTATCTGGCGGCGGTGCTCGAGTATCTGACCGCTGAGATCCTGGAGCTGGCTGGAAACGCCGCTCGGGACAACAAGAAGACCCGCATCATCCCCCGTCACCTGCAGCTGGCGGTGCGTAACGACGAGGAGCTCAACAAACTTCTGGGCCGAGTGACCATCGCTCAGGGCGGCGTGCTGCCCAACATCCAGGCCGTGCTGCTGCCCAAGAAGACCGAGAAACCCTCCAAATCTAAGTAAACTCGAGTTTGTTTTGTTTATACCAAAAGGCTCTTTTAAGAGCCACCCATTTTATCTGATAGAGAGTGATTTTCTTTGTTAATATTTATAAACACCATAAAGGCGTTTGGTTGAAGGAGAAAATGACCCATCAAACCAATAAAATATATGATTGTTCTGCATTATCGACGGTTACAGTCGTAGGTGTGCGTGTTTGTTATAAGCACATGATGGTCCCCTAATGTGTGTTTGTCACCCAACTCATTTCCCTTAATATTAAAATTTAGTTGGTCTACCAAGCTCTGATAATGTATTGAATATATTAGTAAGTTATCCAAAATAAAAAGCAATATACACATCTCGACTTAATGGTAACAGAAATTGGTCAATGTTACTCGGGGTCTTTGATCCCCTTTTTTTACGGGACGGATGGAAACCCTAGTGTGTCTCGCTGCAGTGCTTTTATACAGACTGTAATGTGATTTTGTTCTAATCCGAAATCTGCACAACCACTGTGAATTAAGGCGAGTATTTCAGAACAAATAAATACAACATTGTGAGTATAAAGACCAGGGAGGTGTCATATACACTGTGTGGTGTATATGAAGTATTCAACAGAACAAAGCAGCTCGAGCGGGAAACCTTCCACTTGTTTGAAAAAGAGGAAACGCGCAGTCATTGGCTGGCACTCATGCGCAGACGTCACGTATTAGCCAATCACAAGGTCTGCATCCTCGCGACACTATGAGCTCGTGGCGGTACAATGCTTTAAAAGCGGGTGTACGAAGATAAAGCAGCATTTCCAGCACTAGCAGGACAAAGAGAAGAAGCCCGCAGCAATGGCAAGAACCAAGCAGACAGCTCGTAAATCAACCGGTGGTAAAGCCCCGAGGAAGCAGCTCGCTACTAAAGCCGCCCGTAAGAGCGCTCCGGCCACCGGCGGCGTCAAGAAGCCTCACCGCTACCGGCCCGGGACCGTGGCTCTGCGGGAGATCCGCCGCTATCAGAAGTCCACCGAGCTGCTGATCCGCAAACTGCCCTTCCAGCGGCTGGTGAGAGAAATCGCTCAGGACTTCAAGACGGACTTGCGCTTCCAAAGCTCCGCTGTTATGGCCCTGCAGGAGTCCAGCGAGGCTTATTTGGTCGGTCTGTTCGAGGACACCAATTTGTGCGCCATCCACGCCAAGAGGGTCACCATTATGCCCAAAGATATTCAGCTGGCCCGCCGCATCCGCGGAGAGCGCGCTTAAACCCGCGTCTGCGTCAACACACAACGGCTCTTTTAAGAGCCACCAAAACTGCACTGAACGAGATCATTTCCAGTTTAACTCAATATGAGTAATGTTAGAAAGCTTTGTCATGTATTACATTGACACCCAGGGCCACCGTCCTTTAAATGTTCAGTTACCATAACCCTTATTAAATTCTTAAACATAGGAATGTAATAAAAGCGGTTATTTATTTTAGAATAGGTCCTTTTTTTTCTTGAATTCTGTGGTATCAGATTTGCAGGGTGCGAATAATAAAACTCCTATTATTGAAATTAACAACACTACCATGCGCAATTGATTGACATGTGAGATTGCTCTTATATGCGTGCAAGTTCAGCTAAAGGTAGACATACAGTATAAACCATTGAGGCCTGAAATCATTTATATTCTGCAAATATATGCGAATTGTCTAATAAAAAAAATACTATACCGTCCTTCTAGACTAGCACATTTCATTACCATTCAGTATCTTTGCATATTATATGAGGATATTATAACATCCTCTTCATCAAATGAAATAAATCTTATAAAACATGAAAGAAGTCTCGTTAGATTATGGTTTGGGTAAGGTTACATCATCACATTTGGTTTGTGCTGGAACTATATTGAGGGGAGGGGCGTTTTGCGTCTTGTGACGCGGCGCTGGTTTCTATCAGGTCCTGTAAGTAAATATAAAACGCCTCCTTCCAGCGCTGAGCTGTACATTTGTAGTCATCGTTTGATTGGTGTCTGTGAAACATGTCTGGAAGAGGCAAAGGCGGTAAAGGACTCGGGAAAGGAGGCGCTAAGCGTCACCGTAAAGTTTTGCGCGATAATATCCAGGGAATCACCAAACCCGCTATCCGTCGTCTGGCTCGCCGCGGCGGGGTCAAGCGCATCTCCGGGCTGATCTACGAGGAGACCCGCGGAGTGTTGAAGGTGTTTCTGGAGAACGTGATCCGCGATGCCGTCACTTACACCGAGCACGCCAAGAGAAAGACCGTCACCGCCATGGATGTTGTGTACGCGCTGAAGAGACAGGGACGCACCCTGTACGGCTTCGGGGGATAAACGTCTGAAATCAGGAGAAACTACTCAAACCCAACGGCTCTTTTAAGAGCCACACACTCTGACACATAAAGAGTCTTGCCACATAAGTGTTAAAGATTAATGCCGTTCTTGAAAGCAAACTACAATTCTGAATAATTCGTGAAATGATATATCTCTATAAGAATAGTTTTACTCTTCTTTAATGAATATATGGTGCCTATAGTATATTAACGCCATATAATTGCATTAAATTCACACACAAACTGGAGTTCTGGTAACGTTAACTTTTCTTTCTGAAGATCCACCATCTATTGTAATTTAAAATGATTTACAAAAACAAGAAAGTCGCTTTGAAAGACTTTCTGGTATGAAAGCTATTTTTAAAGGGATCTTATCGTTGCTATTATTACTTCCCTTCAAAAATGATTTTTCAGATTACACGATCATGTTTTTTTCTTCAAAATTGTATCTAAACGAAAATAAATAGCGGGAAATGAACAAAGGAACTGTGTCCTGTGGGGTGTCACTCAAACATTTGGCGGTAGGAGGGTCTATCTTTAAGCCGCTCGTGATTGGCACTTGTTCCTCTCGTGATTCTTTGAGTTGTCCAATGAAAAACGATTTTATGGGTTTGGCCTATGAAAACAGGCAATCAGCAGAATCTCGAATCTCTTTGAAAATTTGCATAAGGAGCGAATAAATGCCTGTTTCGCACTGCCGTTTACATTGATTCGTCCGTTTTCTGATCACGCATCATCATGCCTGAACCAGCAAAGTCCGCTCCTAAGAAGGGATCCAAGAAGGCCGTCACCAAGACCGCCGGTAAGGGAGGAAAGAAGCGCAGAAAGTCCAGGAAGGAGAGCTACGCCATCTATGTCTACAAAGTGCTGAAGCAGGTTCATCCTGACACCGGCATCTCCTCCAAGGCGATGGGCATCATGAACTCCTTCGTCAACGACATCTTCGAGCGCATCGCCGGTGAGTCGTCTCGCCTCGCGCACTACAACAAGCGCTCCACCATCACTTCCAGAGAGATCCAGACCGCCGTGCGTCTGCTGCTGCCCGGAGAGCTGGCCAAACACGCCGTGTCTGAGGGCACAAAGGCCGTCACCAAATATACCAGCTCGAAGTAAAGCGGGATCTGAGATTTCAGCTACCACAAAGGCTCTTTTAAGAGCCACCCACTTTCTCAATGGAAAGAGTTCCTGTTGTCTGTTTAAATGGTGAAAAACTGTGTCTTCTAAGAAATGATCTCCACCTTTTTCTCTCAGATGTGTTAATTATTAGATAGTACTAATCACCTCTTAGCTGTTGAAACCATAAAAAAAGTCCTCTCTCCCGCTCACTCTCCTCCCTCTCATTTCAACGGGAGCGGACTTTTCACGAGAGATTATATTACTGCGCCGAGTCGAAGTGCTCCCAAGCACTTGCTATGGTATTTTGCCATACAATATGTTTTCATGACAAGAAGCACAAGCAAGTATAATTCTCTTAAGAAACTCTTTAATAACTTATGCACAAGCATAACATGCAAGCACATGTTCCGCATTCACTCTTACTCTCCTCTCACCTACTTCACATGTATATCTAACCTAAGGAGCTTGAGTGCCATCTAGTGGAGTATTAACGTAAGGACGTCACAATATAGTTATCCATTTTACACGCTTAGAAAAGCGCAACTTTTTATTTTGTGTCACCGTCTTAGGTCGAGTTACACTACTCGTGTAACAGTTACTCGTGTAACTGTATTTAAATAGGGAAAACGTGGAGGTGTTTGGTCGCTTCTCTTCTTGGCACGTATCCAATGAACAGGGCTGAGATAAGATCTAACAAGGTTTCGCCGCAAGACAGCGATGTAGTGCACGCACTGAGACGAGAGAGGTATGTATGATGTATCAAGTCGTCTTAGTTAAGGGAATAACATAGTTTAATATGAAAAACCAGTAGAGTATCCCTTTAAATCAGACTAGACCCCTGTACTGCAGGATAAACCTGAAAACATGCCAGTGCTGGACTGGTTTTTTAATGACTGACACACGGCCTGATTTTCGGCTGAGCAGGGAGGCCCTGAGAGTGCTGCTGGACCTGTTGAGAAGTAAACGGCGATACGGATGGGGCCGCCATAATAGAGACCCTGGTATTTATTTCCTGGCTGGCGTGTGGTAGATCATACAGGGTCGTCTTCGGAGTGTTTGACATGCCCTGTACATACCACTGTCCACTATAAAAGCACTGCAGCGAGACACACTAGGGTTTCCATCCGTCCCGTAAAAAAAGGGATCAAAGACCCAGAGTAACATTGACCAATTTCTGTTACCATGAAGTCGAGATGTGTATATTGCTTTTTATTTTGGATAATTTATTAATATATTCAATACATTATCAGAGCTTGGTAAACCAACAATATTTTAATTTTAAGGAAAATGGGTTGGGTGACAAACACACATTAGGGAACCATCATGTGCTTATAACAAACACGCACACCTACGACTGTAACATTAACGTTACCTGTTGATATTGCAGAGCAATCATATTATACTGGTTGATGGTTTATTTCCTCTCTCAACCAAACACCTCAATGGCGTTGTAAGTTATTATTAACCAAGAAAATCACTCTCCATCAGATAAAATGGGTGGCTCTTAAAAGAGCCTTTTGGTCTAAATAAAACAAACTGGAGTTGAATTATTTAGATTTGGAGGGTTTCTCGGTCTTCTTGGGCAGCAGCACGGCCTGGATGTTGGGCAGCACGCCGCCCTGAGCGATGGTCACTCGGCCCAGAAGTTTGTTGAGCTCCTCGTCGTTACGCACCGCCAGCTGCAGATGACGGGGGATGATGCGGGTCTTCTTGTTGTCCCGAGCGGCGTTTCCAGCCAGCTCCAGGATCTCAGCGGTCAGATACTCGAGCACCGCCGCCAGATAAACAGGAGCTCCGGCACCGACGCGCTCGCCGTAGTTTCCTTTGCGCAGAAGCCTGTGAACACGGCCGACGGGGAACTGCAGACCCGCCCTGGAGGAGCGAGTCTTAGCCTTCGCTCTGGCCTTACCACCGGTTTTGCCTCTTCCACTCATGTTATTTATTTTAATTCAGTTTTAACAACCTTCTAAGCCGAGGGTTAAGAGAATGAAAACTCGTGTTTCCACTTACTGTCTTTAAAGGAGAGTGCAGGTCGCCCATTGGTTTAGAGTCTATAAAGATTCAAACCAATCACTGGCCTTCGCTCCAAAGCCCAACCCCCTATTCTAGCGGGAATAATTATGCACTAAATAAGTATGTATCAAGGATTTGTAACCATCAAGATAGAAGAGCTGAAACTATTGAAATATTTGTGATAGAAATTCATGAAATTGCTTAACAGTTGTTAGGGGAATTAATATTAATTTAATAATGTTTTTTTCTGTGCACACAGTTAATTTGTGTTAAAAAAAATTTTTTTAACTAAAATGGTTAAATAACAATTTAAACAAGCTTTTCAGATAATTCACTTCAATATCAACATGCTGCTAGGGTTTGATACGCACACTTTTTAACATGTATGCACACCATAAAGTCGAAATAAATGTATATATATGGATATTATACACTGTTCCTACACATTTCATACTGTATTCTGTGCACAATGGCCTTCTGATACTATGTTATATATTATGTTCCATTGCAATTTTATCACCGCCCATATAGCTGGATGTGGTGTTGTTTGTATTGGTCACAATTCTCCAGCATGTTGTGGGTATATATTCTGTTTGTGTGTTGTATCATATTTGGACTGTGATCACTGCCTTAACCCTCATAAGCTTTTTGGCCATTTTTAATATATATTTTTATGTATAAAATAGATCACACAACTTGATTGATTCAAGACTAGGTAACTTATTTTTGACAAAAAGTATTTTATAGTTTTTGTTTAGATTGCACAGGTTTAAGTGGTCAAAAGTAAAATATTAACTGTTTCCTTTGAATAAAAAGCAAAACTCATGTATTGTAATGATTTCTGTTAATTTTGAGAGTTAGTGGGTGGCTCTTAAAAGAGCTGTTGATGAAAAAAAAGTGGACTTTATTTTTTGGGAGCTGCCTTTATAGGCATGGCAGCTTTAGGCTTTCCCTTAGGTTTAGATGCCATGGCTTTTTTAGCACTTTTGGCTGTCTATCAGGCCAAGTTGCTCAGGTCTCTGGACGAGGGCGGGCCAGACCCAGAAGTTTTCAAAGAGCTCCGGTGTGGCACAGGTCTGGCCCTCAGAGCGACGAAAGTGACAGCTAAGCGATCGGCCGCAACATGGGAAATCTTGTGGTGTTAGATCGTCTCCTGTGGCTCACCCTGACTGAGTTAAAAGTTAAAAGACGGCCCTTCTGGACACACCCGTGAACCCCTCAGGTCTCTTCAGAGCGGAGATGGCAAGCTGCAAAAAAATCCTGAAAAATGCACTGAATTACGACGATTGGGACTTCCTATCATTATATAGGCTAATAATTATATTTCTAAATCAACCCTATTTCTCTTTTCACACTCTTGTACACTGGGTGACTGACAGCATTTGAACAGGATGCTTAAACTGGCAGGGAATTTTCTCCTCTTTGCCTTCCCATGAGGCCACAGTGCTCAGAGTAAATGTGCCACAGAGAACGATGGGTAGATGTTCAATGGATTATGCTGGCAAAAGCAATGACAGTTAAGAAATTCCTTGAAAGAATACATGGAGAGGTTACCATTTTAGAATTTTTCAAAATAGTTCACGGAGGTCTAAAATCTCCCATCAAGTATTTAATATTTAAAACCCCATAGAATCTGAGGTGTTGAAATCCTGAAGATGTTGGACATGCTCTAATATTTTTGCTTATTTCAGCTATTTACACCTTAAGGAAAATGGTTCACAAAAGCAGTGTGAAAGACAAAGTAGCATTAATGAAACCAGAAAATCAAAGACAGTGCCAGTGGTCATAAAAACTGCATTCAGCACCTGAGCGAATACTAATCCGTTCCCTAAAGGGTCTATTAATATGAAATAAATGTGTGAGAATGTGAGACTTTTTTTCTCCATGTAGTTTATTTACAAAAATAGTACACATACTCCAATTACACACCCTCTTTTGAATTTGAGGCACATTTTTGTGCACCCAGGT